CATAAAAAAAGTGATATATTTACACAATGGAATACTACTTATACGTAAAAAAAGAAGGAAATCCCAACTTTTGTGACAGCATGGATGGACCTGAAGAACATTATGCTAAGTGAAATAAGAGTGAGAGAAAGACAAAAACCATATGATCTCACTTTTATGTGAAATCCAATAAACAAAATAAGTTGATGAAGAAAACAGAAATGAACTCAGAGATACAGAGAACAGATTGATAGCTGTCACAGGGGAAGGCTGGGTTGGGGGAGTGGATGGAGGCAGTAAAGGGATTAAGCAAAAAGAATACACACACACACACACACACACACACACACACACACAGAAAAGTGTGCTGACAACCAGAGGAAAGGGGCAGGGGGATGGGGCTAGGTGGAGGTGGGCAAAGGTGAGAAGGAAATACAGATGGAAAACTTGGGGTAATGAGGGCACAATGTAGTCTGAGATGATGTTTTATTGAGCTGTACACTTGAAACGTACCCCAATAAATTCAATAAATACAAATTTTTTTGAAAAATGTATTTCCTTTATTAATTTTTAGAAAGAGCAAGGGAGAGGGAGAAACAGTAACACTGGTGGCCTCCTGCACACCCCCACTGGGGATCGGGCCTCAACCTGGGCACATGCCCTGACCGGGAACAGAACTGGCGACCTCTTGGTGCATGGGTATCGAACCGTGCTCAACCAGGAAGCCACACTGGTCAGGCAATAAAAACAAGTTTTAAAAAAAAAAATTTCAACATAAAAAGCTCATAAAGTCTATGTGAAAAACAAAAGCAACTCAATTTTTAAAAATGACAAAGAATCTGAGTAAGCAATTCACAGAAGAGCTATAAATGGCTAATGAAAACTTTAAAAGATTCTCAACTCCCTGAGGGTCAAGAGTATGCAAATCTAATAACAGGACAGTATTTCCACTTATCAGATCAGCAAAATTAACAGGAATGTTTTCATTGTTAACTATTTTCTTGTTTTTATCTATATTAAATGTCGAGACTAGGCAAATTCACAAAGACAGAAAGTGGTCAGCAATTATTTAAGATTAAGTAGAAATCTGATGAAGAATGATCACAAATAGGTGGATTTTCTTTGTGGAGAAACTGGAATGTTCTAAAATTAGTTTGGTGATAAATGCATTACTCTGTAAATAGTAAATATAATAGTATTATACCACTTGTGTGGATGAACTCTAAAGAATGAGAATTATATGTCTATAAATCTAGTATAGAGACAAGGTGAGGGGCAGTGACTGTACTAGTATAGAGACAAGGTGAGGGGCAGTGACTGCCACTCACCCTGTAAATTATGTCTGTACTTAACAAGTCAGACACTGACACTCTAATGGTTTCCCAGTCATCTCTTCCATTGCTGGTCATCACAGGCAGTTATGGAGGTTATCCCAGGGAACGGGCAGGATTTTGTGTCAGTTCTCCACATGTCTGAGACACTTAGCGTTAAGGATTCGTCTCCATCGGAACAGTAGTAGTCAGCCTCATCCTCCAGGCAAAGGCCTGCAGTGTTCAGATAGGCCATTTTTCTGGACTTGGAGTCAGAGAACCAACCTGAGATCCCTGAAGGGTGAGAACTTCTAATGATCATAGTTTGGCGGGCACCATTAAAAATCTCTTGGTAACAGGTCACATGATATGTTCCAAAGTTGTTGCTCTTTCCAGTACAGGAGAGGGTGACCTACTGACCCACAGGTACTGAAGATTGTTTCTTCAGCTTATTCTAAGCCCAGGACCCTTCTTGCAACAAGGCTCTGACTGCATGGTCACTGAGCAAATACAAAGACCCTGCTCCCAAAGGCAGGAAGCCTCTGGAAGTCCAAGGAGCCAGAGAGTGCAGCCCTGCCATTGGTGGCTTGGTCTGTACCACTCAGCTCCCACCCTCCCTGGCGGTAGGGTCCAAGCCACCAGGAAGAGGTGTCCTGGATGATCTCCAGAGCCACGGAGTAAGTGAGACAGGCTAGTAAACCAGGACAAACTCAGTGCAAAAACAATCCTAATGCACACTTTTATGGGGCATGTAGGGCATTGTTTCTCTAAGCATGATCTGAGGATCATTTGCATCAGAATGTTTTGGTGGGTTTATTTAAAAGGCGATCACCAGAACTTGCAAACAACCTACATGTCCTTCAGTGGTTGAACTGACAAACTGGCATGTCTCAGCAGTGAAAAGGAATGAACTACTGACACAGGAAACAACTGGATGACTCAGTGGTATTAATCTAAATGAAGGAAGCCATTCTCAGAACATCACCTGCTGTATAATCCAAACTCATAGGAAAAGTTGAGAGGGACAAAGAGGCTGGTGTGCACAGAGATTTGAGGTGTGAGTAGGGTGGGAGTATAACTCGACGGCAAGAGGGAACTTACTCAGATATGAAACTCTTCTGTGTACTGATGGTGGTGGTTACGCAAACCCACTACCTATGTAGTAAAATTCACTGAACTGTACCCTCTCCCTCTTCGAAGTCAAGTTACTGGGTGAAAATTGAAAAACAAAAAACGTATACAGACCCCACCTCAGACCTAATAATAAAAATCTCTGGGCAAGAGGAGCCAAGCCAGTGGCCTTTATAACAAGCCCCCAGTGAATCTCATGAACACTAAGTTCTAAGAATCAGTGGTTCTCATAGCTATTTATGAGTGAAAATTTGTACCACACTCTGGAGTGAAATTAGGAATATTTTATCAAAGCGCAGAATATGTATATAGTTTTACTCAGCTATCCGCTTTAGGGAATTTGTTATATGGATGTACTCACAGGACCTTGCAAAAACGTACAAACATGGGTACTGTGGATTCAACGCCACAGGGAAAATCAGTTAGATTTTCATCAACAGCAAACAATAAATCATGCTGCGGGCACATTGTGCATTGGTAAGCCAGCGGCCTGTGGGGAGGGCTGCACACGGATTCACCTCTGTGGTCAACTTTCTTCCTCCCTTCAATACGCATGCTGTTCCCTAAACTTGGCACAAGGTTCTCATCTGGGAACAACTGTGCCTTCGAGGGGTGTGTAGAAATATCACAAAGGTTTTTGGTTGTCATCTAGTGGGGGAGGCCAGGGTGCTGCTTCACACCCAGTGAATGACAGGACAACCCTCATATCAAAGAATTTTCTGGCCCCAAAGGTCTGAGGTTGAGAAGCCCTGGCTGCAGGGCCTCTCCACTCACACTTGATCCCGAACTTCTTTCCCAGGTCCCACTTCCTCACTGAACTTCCCAATGCCCCCTTTAGTAAGAGGGTGACCTTACTAGAGTTTCTTAAAATCATGTCCTGCTTAGCATCCCCCACCCCACAAATTAGCACTTGACACCTAAATAGTTGTCACCAAATCTTGCCTGTTTTATCCCTTATCCTTAATTATGTTAGATCACTGTGAACAGTGATATTTATTTTCTTGTAAGTATAAGCACAATGTAAACGTGTAGTAAACACTTATAAACCCCAGTAGGGACCTGAAGCTCAGAATGAAGACTAAAGCGCTCACATTGACTGGCTTCTTGTAAGGATTGTAGGATGTGGAGTAGAGGAATATTATTTAAATGTAAAAGGGAAGTTCTATAATTTCTACTGAATCGAAACTCCTCTTACTCTGAATACACCTGAAAATGTATTCAAGTATCAAATTAGAGTCACACTGTCCTTTGACATGTAAATAAAATGTGGCTCAAGCCCTGCAAAGGGAAAATCAGATTATTTCTGCCCTGAGTCTCTGGAGGGTGTGTGTGCAGGAGCCCTGCTGCCCCAGGTGTCTGCTCTGTTGAGACCCCTCCTTCAGCCTCACCTGCAGGGGCAGCCTCTCCTTCCTCCCCTCCCAGGGCAGGACCTGCCTTGGCACACAGCTCCTTTCCCTGATGTCCCTAGCTCGTCTCACGTAGGGCATTTATGTCCAGAAGTCCTCGAGAAAGTTCGGGATACAGAGCTGAAGGTAAAATAGCAGACAGCCCCATGTTTTCTTGATTGAGGACACTCTTTTAAAAGTCCTTCAGCAACTGCAGTCCAGGAAGCTCTCTCAGACCTCCCTTTGCTCCAGACTCCCTTCTCCTGCTATGCAGCTCTGCACTTGCTTTGCCTGCCTTCTCTTTCCTCAACTTCCTGATGCCACCCTCTGAGTCCTCGGAACTACTTCCTCCAGCTTCCCCCTCCACCGCGAGCTGGCTGCGATGGCCAACCCTAGAAAAGGGCAGTTCTCCCTAAACAAACAAACAAAAACAAAAAAACCCACACACAAAAAAAACAAAGAAAAACTCCAAAACAAAAAGTGTCATGTCTTCTGTCCCTGCCCTCCTCAGAGAGCTCTGAGTGTGGTGACCAGAGGATCGGCCACGGGGCCGGTGCTGTCGGGACCCCGCAGAGCTCCGCTGAGAAGTGCCGCGCAGGGGGCACGTCTGCGGCCTGCAGAGCAGGAGGGTCGCTGTTGTGGCTTCAGGCCTTGGTGATGGGTCAGGACAACGTCCAGGGCAGGGGTTCTAAACACGCAGTCCTGGGCCTTCCGAGATCTAGGTCGGAGGTCCCAGGTGCCTTTCTCTTGGGCTGAGTCTAGAGAAGTCACGCCCCAACGACGTCTCCAGAACAGCGACTGCCCTGCCCTGAGGTCTCGTCCGCTGCCACATTCGTACTGCTGGGAAAAGCCACCGGCTCAAGTCTAACACGCCCTCCTCCGAAGCACGGGAGGACAGAAGAACCCGCAAGATTGCCCCAACTGCACAACCAGCCAAGTCGCCAAAGCCGGTCGCCGGCGATCTCCGCGCCCGTCGCTGAGCATTGTGGGGCTGGTAGTCCACGCTGGGCGCTGGCGTCAGGCTACGGAATCCAGAGAACTACATTTCCCAGGACGACCCGCGTCGGCGTGAGCCCTCGGCGGGCGGACCAGACCTCCCGAAGAACCCCGGGCGACCGTTGGCGGACGCCAGATCCAGGGATCAGGATGCGCCTCCCGCTGCCCTGAGCACCCTGTGCGGGCGGGTCCTGGAACCACTGCCCCGGCGATCTGGGCGCGGCCTCCGCCTGAGGCGGGAACAGCTTTGGCGACTGGGGCCGCCCCCTGCAGCCTCTGGGTGCGCGCAGTCCGGGACCCGCGGCGCGCGCCGAACAAGGACCAGCGGCGGGAGCCAACCGCGTCTTCCCGGCCCCTCCACGATGTCCGAGGCCGAGCAGCCCGAGAGGGTGGCAGCCACGCGGCGGTGGAGAATCACGTGAGGGTGAGCAGCTCCGGGCTGGGGCGATGGGCCCCTGTTGCCCTCAGCCAGGGCGCCCTCGTTCCTGAGGACGTGGGCTTCGTGAGGGGGACGGGCTGCGCGTTTCCCCCGCGTCACTCCCCTGCCCCTTAAAGGCCGTTTTGCGTGGGATCCGTCGGGGGCGAGCCTTCTTCTCCAGACTCCTCGTCCGCCCCGACAACGGTGTTGCCAAGTGCAGCCAGGTGGTGTCTGAGGTTGCGTGGGGCTGGAAGAGACTCGCCCCCTGGTTTGCTTGCGGGCCAATGGAAGCTGACGCGTCCTGGGCTGCAGAGAGATCTGGGAATTCAGTCAATGGAAAAGGCGTGAGCTGGCTCTGCTTTCAGGGTTCATTCAGTGCCTCAGTTGCAAAATTGGGACAATAAGCTGAGATTTCAAAATGCCTGGAGAAAGTGAATAGCTAATGGACAGGCAAATGAAATGCATACTATTAGAAAAGCCCCAAATCTCAGTTTTCCTATGAAGCTGTTTACATTAATTTTGGTGGCGCATGTCCTTACCTTTGTTTTATAATTATGTATTTGCTTAAATAAAAATCTTGAGGCCCCCTCACCTCAGGCTGAATCCCCAGAACAGTGGATTCGAGCTACATAATACCAGGTGGTCCTGGGGAGACCTCCCTTAGGCATTTGGGGGCAGCTCACCCAATCTCAGTGGCACCCACTTTCCCTACCAACAAACATTGTTTCCTGAGTTGCCCATACTCCTTGAATTTTGTATTTTCTGCTCTTTTACCATTGATTTATTCATCCCATTTGTTTGCCAGGTATTTATTTAGTGTCCAGCAGTGTCCAACTGTTGGTGTGGTCCCCAGAAATGTGGCTGGAAGGGGAAGTAGGAGAGTCTGGTCCTGGATACTTTGCAAGTGTGAATAGCTGATTCATATTCACACATTATTGAGCATATTCATGTGTTTAATTGTCATGTAGTTAATTGCCCTCTCCTTTGCTCCATCTGAGGCCATGTTTTCTTGTGTTTTTATTTTTACTTTAAAATTTTATTTATTTATTTAATACAGATGTCCCTCCCTTTTCACCCATTGACACCCTCCTCCCGCCCCCCCCCCCCCTTTCACCACACTGTTGTCTGTGCCTATTGGTTATGCATATTTACATGTAAGTTCTTTGGTTTATTTCTTCTTGCCCCTATCCCCCTTCCTCTGAGGTTTGTCATTCTGTTCCCAACTTCCATGTCTCTGGGGTTTTTCTTGTTAATCAGATTATTTTGTTCATTTTATTCCATAAGTAAGTGAGATCATGTGGTACTTGTCTTTCTCTGATTGACTTAGTTCGCTCAGTATAATACTCTCCAGATCCCTCCGTGTGATCTCAAAGGGTAAGAGATCTTTCTTCCTTACAGCTGCATAGTATTCCATTGTGTAAATGTAGCACAGCTTTTTCATCCACTCATCTACTGATGGACACGTGAGCTGTTTTCAGATCTCAGCTAGTGTAAATAGCACATGCTGTGAACAGAGGGGCGCATATATTCTTTTTGATTGATGTATCAGGCTTCTTAGGATGTATTCCTAGAAGTAGGATCACTGGGTTGAATGGCAGTTCAATTTTTAATTTTTTGAGGAAACACCATATTGTTTTCCATAGCTGCTTATACCAGTCTGCATTCCCACCAGCAGGGTACTAGAGTCCCCTTTTTTCCACATCCTCACAAGCACTTGTTGTTTGATGATTTGTTGATGGCGGCCATTCCGGCAGGTGTGAGGTGATACCTCATAGTCATTTTAATTTGCATCTCTCTGATGATTAGTGATGTTGAGCAGTTTTTCATATGTCTCCTGGCCATTTGTATGTCCTGTTTGGAGAGGTGTCTATTCAGGTCCTCCACCCATTTTCTAATTAGGGTGTTTGTCTTTCTTTTGTATGAGTACTCTATATATTTTGGAAATTACCCCTTATCCAATGTATCATTAGCAGATATGGTCTCAATACAGTGGGTTCCCTTTCCATTTTGATACTGGTTTCTTTTACTATGCAGAAGCTTTTTAGTTTGCTGTAGTCTCATTTATTAATTTTTTCCTTTGTTTCCCTTGCCGTAGGCATTAAAAAAAAATTTTTTTTTTATCCTCACCTGAGGACATTTTTGCATTTATCTTCAGATAGCGTGGCTGGGAGAGAGGGAGGAAGAGAGAGAGAGAGAGAGAGAAACATCCACGTGAGAGAGAGACATCGACCAGCTGCCACCCACATGACCCAACCCAGGCCGGGGACAAACTGCAACCGAGGTACGCGCCCTTAGCAGGAACCTAACCCAGGACTCTGAGGTCCACAGGCCGATGTTGTAGCTGCTGAGCCAAACTGGTCAGGGCTGCCCTAAGCATTTTATCGGTGAAAATTGTGCTATGTCTGATGTCTGAGATTTTGCTGCCTACGTTTTCTTGCAAAATTTTTATGGTTTTGCAAGTTATATTTAAGTCTTTAATCCATTTTGAGTTTATTTTTGTGTATGGCATAAGATGATGGTATAGTTTCATGTTTTTGGATGTACCTGTCCAATTTTTCCCAACACCTTTTATTATATAGACTAGACTGTCTTTACTCCACTGTATGCTCTTGTCTCCTGTGTCAAATATTAATTGAGTATAATGTTTTGGGTCAATTTCTGGGTTCTCTGTTTGTCGCATTGATCTATATGCCTGTTTTTATGCCAGTGCCAGGCTTTTTGATTTTGATGGCTTTGTTGTATAACCTGATATCCAGAATTGTGATTCCCTCCAACTTTGTTCTTCGTTTTCAAGATTGCTGTGGCTATTTTGGGGCCATGTTTTCCACTACCACTTTGTGACTTGGTTTTCTTTATTCACTGTGTAAGCTTATCGGGATATGTTATATGCTAAGTCCTGTTGGTTTCACATTTGGAATGTTTTTAGAGCTGACCCTTCCCTTTAACTTGCCAGCTTGACCCGTTTAGGCTCTCCCTAGGGCCAGATGATAGCAGTTGCCATTACCTTGTCTTCTCAGTCCACCTCCCAAGTGGCGCATTATTGTCTTCTGAAGCTCTCGTCTGCTCCTGGGACAGTGGCCCTCATGGGGCTTCATCCTGACCTGCACATGACACGTGTGCAGCATCTACTGTACGCAAGGTGCTGAGCCAGGTGGGGAAGATCACAGCCAAGGATGGTTCTTGTCCTCACTTCCACCATCTCGCTTCCTTGTGTGCTTCCTTCTGCCCCTGTACCAGAGCATTGGGCAAGTGAGACGACTGGCAGATAGTGTGTGTTTTAACATCATTACCCTCGACCTCGAGTGCTCTTTCCTGTCCTCTGCCTTCATGTTAATGTCATGTGTGTCCTTCGGATTTACTCCAAAGACCATTACTTCCTTTCTGTTATTCCTTAGCCTCATAAGGGGAGGGTGAATTCTCTTTGATTTGTATCACTTTACACCTCTTAGGCACCTTATGCAGGTGTCTTGTGTTCTAGTCATCTGTGTTTGTCTCTCCCAGACCCATAAAGGGTAAGCTCCTGGAGAGTAGTTAGCCCTATCTTCATGCAGCGTCGGTATCGCCGGGTCTTCCTTCCTAGTAAATGTTCAATGAATTGTGTGAAGTGTGGAAATAAATCTGGAGGTTGTGGGATTATTGGTGGGTTGAATCTCTGGGTGCAGGTCCAGTTCCCTAGTCCGTTGGTGTTCCAGTGTGGTAACCACCTCCACGTGTGGGTGGATAAAGACCTTGGAGAGTTCTCAACCGAATCCTTTTGGGTAGCCACCCTGAACTCAGATCTGCCTGTTTCTGGGAGTATGGGTATCCATCCATTAATGACTCTGCTCATCTGAAGGCCCATAGTCCCCTGTGTTCTCTTTGGAGTCTGGTTTTTGTTGTGGTTGTTTCTGACTGGCTTAGCTTGAAGTTGTGGGGCAGTGTTCCCGTTGGTTAGAAGGACTACTTCTAAGGTTACCCCACTGGACAAGGTGAGTGAAGTTCTGACGTTGCACTCATGGCGTGGTTCAGTATTGCCCGTTAGAAGGGGCCTACTCTTCCAGCAAAGCCTGCTTGGCTGCCTTTCACTGTTGAGCCACCTTGTGGTCAGCCTTTCCCACCTCTCTTTGGCTTTGGCTTAGACACTAATTCCTGGGCCGGTCATCTAATTTCAGGACCACATCACATGGTTGAAGAGCTTTGGGTCTGGGGGCTCCTTCTATTTCTGGCTCATCCAAAAGCTGAGGGAGGAGTTTCACATGGAGCCTATTTGACTCACCTGAGTTCATCAATTGCCACCTGCCTGCTGGGTGACTTGAATGAATGGCCGAGCATTGCACTGAGGTGTCGGGCAGTTGAATTTCTATGTAGCTAGAGCTCTCTTTAGGTGCATTTGGGTCTACCTGGGCATTAATAAATCAATGTATTTATTTTCTCATTAGTTGAAGAGCTTTATATGTTCTGATATAAAATCTTGATTCTTATACATATATAAACCTATACCAAAGAGGGAACGGGAAAAGATGTTATAACCTGTTCAGAGGAAATACCAAAGAACCATAAGTTTGTACACAGTCAGAAGTCGTAAAATTTACAGATATGTCTCTAGGATAATAATCTAATGTCTCTCACAAACCCCAACTAATTTGCATTTCTCTGGACAAGAATTATTTGTATGGTTAACGAATTTCTACATGTTAAAGTCTGTCTCTACTGTGTTGTAAAATGGCCTAGTCAAGGTGTTACTGCCATTGAGCTTCTTGGGTTCCCCAAGATAGAAATCTAGAGGGAACCCCATAGAAATTTCCAGACAGATTTTATTAAGCTCATGCTCAAGCACAGAGGCGGCAGCACAGAGGAAAGGATATTTCTCTGAGCTGGCTGGGGGCACAGCGGGCTTGCCTGAAAAGGGGGCCTTTTTTAGAAAAGGTGGGTTTTTTTTTAAAAATGCAGACTTGCAGCAGCTTCTATTCCAGGCCTGGGTGACTTCCTTTTCCAGCTTCGTTGCAAATAAGTACATTGGCTCCTGAGCTGTGGGGGAAGGTGGCCAACTGCTCATACCACCAAGGGAAGGTCTAATAGCAGTCACACTTTGATCAACTGCATACCAGTCAGCAGTTAAGCGGGCAGTTAGAATAGAGACAAATCAGTTTCCTCTGTATGTTTGAGGAGGGAGTGGAGAGGTGGTGACATTTTGGGGTCCAGCGTTTCTTTAGACAATCTGGCGCCCTAGGGGTCCTGGGCCCAGGTCCCTCTGCTGTCTGAAAGGCAAAGGCACACACCCTTGTAGGTCGGATAACATAGTACCTACAGCCCTAGCCCGTTTGGCTCAATGGTTACAGCGTTGGCCTGTGGTCCAGAGAGACCCGGGTTCGGTTCCTGCTAAGGGCATGTACCTCGGTTGCAGTTTGTCCCCGTCCCTGGTTGGGTCGTGCAGGTGGCAGCCACTCGATGTGTCCCTTTCATGTCGATGTTTCTCTCTCTTTCTTTTTCTCCCTCCCACTCTATCTAAACAACAACAACAACAAAAATTGAAAAATGTCCTCGGGTGAGGATAAAAATAAAACCAACAAAACATGGTACCTACAGGCTCCAGCATGAATGGACATGTAGTAGCCTCTTTTGCTCATTTCTAAGTTCTAAGTTTTTCTTAGAGTGTTCAATTCATCTCTAAAGTGGGGATAATGGGTCTTGAGATCACAAGGGGGTATTGTGAAATATGACTTACAATAACATTTATAAATCTTGGAAGACGCTTAACCAATGGTAGCTGCTGGTTTGGTTTTTAGCTGTTTTGCCTTAGACTGGCAAGAGATTGTTCCCTGGAAGTTGCTTAGGAACTGAGCTCCACATTAGATCCCGAGTGTTTGACCTCTGACCTTCTTGTGCTGTTTGTGGTTTATCTGACCTCAGCTGGGCACGTGCTCTGTCCCTGGTCTATTCATAGGTATCTCCCTCCTTTGGTAAGGTGGCAGGCCTGAGCAGTGTGATGCCTGTATCTTGTCCATTGCACTCAGAAAGCATTCTTGTATTTACAAGTCTTTCCTGTCGCCGATGAAGACGCCTTCTCATGTTCCTAATTGAGCCTTTGCCCTCTCTGCAGATTCTCTGAGGCAGGCTCATGCAAAATATGGAGCCCTTGGCATCAAGTGGACAGAAACTGATATAATTTGCTATTTTGTGGTTACTTCAGACATTCCCCTCTTCAGTTGACTCGGGGAGTTTAGATGGTGGGCTGGATATGTACTGCAGGTTCCCTGTGATGCCACCAAAGCGAAGGTATCTGTGGTCAGTCCCCTGCCTTCTAGGTATTAAGCATTTCGGAAAAGGCACTGAAGCCAGACACCTCTGCGTTCTGCTCTTCGGGTGCACCTAGGCTCTGTTCTTTTCCCTGAGCTCTTCCTTTCTGATCTCGGCCCAGGGGCAGGTCAGGGATTATTCAGTGCAAATTGGCAGGCCAACTTATGTTACTGTACTTTGTAGGGGAGCCAAGCCTTTTGTTTGAGAGGATGTGGAGATGTTAAATATACAGCAGGTCCAAAATGGAGTCACTTTTGCTAAGCCCAATGTCACCAAATTGAGACTCAATTACAGTCTTGGCTTTCCTGAAAATGGGATCTTAAACCAATCAGCCTTGTGGATCCTGCCATCCCGTGAAATAAAGTCTATGAAAGTGTTTAATTTTGTACTGTTCTTTGGAGTTTGTTTCTATCTGCTAGATTAGATGTTGCCCAAATTGAATCAGTTTTTGTTCCAATAAACTCAGCATTTCTTAACTTAGTTTATCTTTCAGTTGGATGAATGGTGGCGTCAGATTAAAGGAGGAGAGTTCTGGTGATAATTACAGCTGGGTACCGTAATACAACGGCTTAGGGTTCAGGAGTTAGGTTTCTGTAAAATAGGCACAGTGCCTACCTTTGCACCCTGGTTGGTGAACTAGTATTTCTAATAATTTTACAGCTCTAGGAATGGGGCTGAGAGGAAATAAAAGAAAGTATTAATAAGTTTTGTTTTACTTCCTCCTCCCTTTCTCTGGCAGGGTGACCAAGTGCTGGGAATTGGAAGTAGTTCTACAGTTGTCCGTACTGTGCAGTGAATAGGTATGTTCCTGAGCTGTCTGCTGGATGTTCTGTGTGGTAATGTGGGTGGGGGGAGATTGAAGGGGGGGGACAGAGGGACACAGGTTTCACATGTGCCGGGTTTGTCTGCAGCACTGAGGGTCTGGAAAGAGGGGTGCTTCTCTGAGGTCACTGAGTGTTCGTGTTCTTCCCTGAGAGAGGGCTTCCTGGGTCTCTCTGTTCACCTTTGGGGGTCAGCCCCTGAGGCAGGCTCTTTGAAGCCTGCGGACTTCTCAGGAAATCACAGACAACAAGTCAGTGTCAATGAAGGATTGACCCTGGAGTGAATGTGTGGTGCTGGCAGGTGGTGGCTTGTTCAGGCATATGCTGACTGTATTCTGAAGAGGAAGTCTCTGTGCGTAGCACAGGCTCAGGAATTGTTGGGAGGTTCGGACTGCATTTCACTCCTTCCCCCATGTCAGTGAACACTGAGAATGCTGAGCCACATTGACATCGTGGCCTCTTGAGAGGATGTGTTCTGTCTGGTTGTCGACCTCTAGTGTTGCCCCATACCGAACCATTCCCTACCCTACCTGCAGCTAGAATGATCTTTTTAAAATGTCAGTATGACCTTGTTTTTATTTAAAACTGACAACGGTTTCCTGTGGCCTTTAGAAATGTCCAAAATATCCTTCTAGGCCCTCGAGGGTCTGACCTTTGCTTATTTTTTGAGTCTTGCCCCTCTTTCATTCCCCATTCCCTGGGTCACACTTTGAGACCCTCGTTGGCATCACACTCTGCCACCCCAGCTTAGAGCTGTGTCATGCCTTGTGTCCCAAATTGTCCTCTGATGTAGTTGAAAGACTGTTGATCCTTTTTCGAAGTGTCTCCCATCTTTCTTCTGTCCTTCTCGCTGCTCCCACACTTACACATTTCTTGCAGTACCATGAAGTGGTACAACCTGGCCCACCATCAGGAGTTGGACGGATCTCATTCCGTGTGGATGCTGAGGATTGTAAGCCACAGAATAGTGCTGAACTTGTTTTAAATAGGGATTTGATTGTCTAACAATAAATCCACAAGGAGGTGGATGCAGGATTGAATTCAGCTGCTAGTTCTCTTCACTGTTCCCTCATGGTCACATTAGGTTTCCAGCAACAACAAAGTAGTAACAGCGTCAAGCAGCAAAGAAAGGAAAACCATCTTCCCTTCATTCTTATTCTTTTTCTCAGGGAGGACAATATTGTCCTGAGAGTCATATAGGAGACTCTTCCACGAGCCTTTGGCCAGAACTGTCTCAACTGCAAGGGACATGGGACAGTGTAGTATCCACCTGCTACTGAAGGAGGCTGTCTGCTCAGGAAAAGGTCAGGATGGGAGCTGGGAAAGGGTCCCCTGTGGATACGGTGGTCGTGTACATTTCTGCTGTGTGGGCTTGCGGAGGGACTGTGTCCTGAAATGCTGGGATGACTGTTTCAAATTATTCGCGACTACTCTGTTCTAAACGCCTCTTCCAACAGGGTCATGACCGGCCATATAAAACTTTAAAAAATTAATTTCACATGCACTACAATTAAGTAAAATATAAAATTCCCTTAGATTCTACCTCTAAGATGTCTCTTTCTTGATACCTGAGAGAGTTGGCTTGGTTTCCAGACCACCTGTTGTGCATTCAAAGCCATATTAATGGGAAGATAGGGATGGGTCTCCCCTCAGAGTGCCAGTGTTCCCAGGAGAATGGCTGCCTTTGGGTGATTCCGCCACAGGTGTTAATGATTCCCCTGATGTGACTGCATCTGCCGCAGCTGGCCTTCCTTTCAAACACTTGCCTACCTGATTGATTTAGGTTTGTCTTTGGATTTTTTCCCCCCGTTTTGTATACACTTTTGCCATGTTGGTTTGAATTTTACTCATAGATTGTTTCAGTTTCAGTGGTGTCAGTGAGCTTGGCCCTTCCCCTGGCCTGGGAATGCTCCCCTTGTTCCATACCACCCTGTCCCGGGGCCACCATTGCCTGTTCTCAGGTCGAATTGGACCAGTGTGCTCAGCTCTGGGCTGAAGGTGGAGGAAGAAAATGATGAAGTAAGTGTTTAGGGGAGGAGTTGTTGTGAACGATTCCCGCTACAAGCAAAGGGACCGCTCTTCCTGTCCTCAGTGGTTTGAAATACGAGATCTTCTAGCAGTTCTTGCTGCGCAGATGTAAACCCACACTGAACACTCAGGGAAGCAGAATGTAGCCCATGAAGTTGTTTTTGCTTTTTCTTTTAAATCCTCCCCCGAGGATATTTTTCCGTTCATCTTCAGATAGGGTGGCGGGGTGGGGGAGAGAGAGAGATACAGCTACGGATACAGAAACGTCCATGGGTGAGAAACACGTCGATTGGTTGCCTGCAGCACGACCCCGACAAGGGCCAGGGACTGAGCTGAAACCTAGGTCCGCCCCCCTGGCCAGAATCGAACCCAAGACTCTGTGGTCTCCGGGCCGATGCTCTAACCGCCGAGCCACACCGGCCAGGGCTCTTTTCGCTCTTAATGAGACTGTTTTCATGATATAAATTGGTGCTTGGGGAAGTTCAGAGAGATTGTCTTGATAGTGGTGAGATGATTGAGCTTTAAAGACTCTTAAAGTGTAACCTGTATCAACATTCCGACTGGAAACGGTCTCATGATTAATATAGGATCCTTGTGCAAACACCAGAAAATAGACTAAGCTAAAGGAGGAGAGATGGTCACTACCTGTAGCCCCACTTGCTGGAGCCCACAAGTGTTAACATATAGGTGTGTGCATCTCCAAAGGTTCTTTCTCCGTTTCATCCGTTTTTATCTGTTGAGTTACGAGGAAGACTTGAAACCCGTTTATCGAAGAGATTGAAAAAGCGTGTCCTGAGCCACCTTCCATGTTTGTAGTGGGCACACGTAATAAACACACAGATATATCACGTATATTACGTATTTGTATAGGAGCAGGGAATCTCTACCCGTTTTGAATCAACAACTTTATTTCCGTTCATTGCAGAGTATTTTGTTCAATGGCATAGAGTTCATTTAATGGAAACTACTGTGTTTTGCTACTATAAATATAGTGTTGGGGTCTAGTCCTATTATTTATCTATTTACTTAGCGTAACGAATTAGAACTTTTTAGGCAGAAAGAAATCAAGAGTCCGAAAGACGCTCCCACACTGGCTTCAGGTGCTGCTGTGCGCCAGGCCGCGCCAGGCCAGGCCGGGGCGTCTGGCTGGACCAGGCGCTCGCCTCTGAGCAGGCCCTTCCTGTGGCTCTGGAGGGCTCTGGAGCTCTGGAGGTGGATCTGGAGCAGGAGAAGGAGACAGAGTCACAGCTAGGCCCGGTTTGCCCGTGCCTTTCCAACGTGGGGAAGATGCCCCTACCCTGAAGGGAACTCCAGCCCGCGAACCTCCCCTCCCCAGATCATCTTCCCAGAATTCGGTCCCCTGACCTTCCGGCATGACTGCTGTGGGCTCTGGAAGCTCGAGGTCAATCCAGACAAGGTGGGCGTGGCCCACGTGGTGCGAGGCTGGGAAGTGGACCTGCACTGAGGCCTGCTTCAGCTGCAACCAGGGGAAGCGGAAAGCCTGGCCGAAACCCTGCACCTGGTCCGGCCAGGTTCCCGCCGTAGAAGCGATGGCCCTGGGGAGAGGCGGTGAGGCAGCAGAGTCAGACTCCTGCTCTTTGCCTGCACGCTGCCCTCCCGTGGCACGCTTGCTTGGGAGCGGACCTCGGGGCCTGCCCCGGCCCATCCGGGGGCAGCCCTGTGCCAACCCCGGCCCCTGTGTGGCTGTCCTGAGAGTAGCAGGCCTGGTGACTTAGGAGCTCTCACACGGAGTCTGTGTGAGTCTTTTCTTGCCTCTGACATTTGTCCTGAGGGTCCTGTGCACTGCCCAGGCCAGCCCTCCATTCACCCAGGGCGGGGGCGGGGGGGGGGGTGCTCTGCACTGGGGATTGAGACGGATTTGTGAGCAGGCTGCTCACCACGTGTCCTGTCCCGTGCCTGTCCTGGTGGTGGCTGTCAGGAGAGAGGACTGCGGAGAGGGGCAGGCAGAGCGGGATGGGACTGCGGTGGGTTTGGGACGCTGGGGAACACCTCAGCCCACCCTCCCCTTCAGAACTCTGAGCCCAGGGCCCCCGTCCACAGTCCTCTTGGACTCCTGTCCTCCTGGAATAGAAGCCACCGGAGCTGAGGCCTCCCTTGGGAACGAGGAGGTGTGGAAGAGATGGTTCTGCCAGGCCCTCCCCACCCTCAGCGTCCGTCCCGTAGACCCTGGAGACCCTCCATCGGGGCGCAGAGACCACTCACTTTCTTACTTGGTCCTGTGGTGTGTCACCCTGGTCACTGTAAGGAGGTGTGCCCCCAGATGTGGAGAAGACCGTGATGGCGTCAGACCTGATGGTCGGTGGGCGGGACCTGCGAATGATGTCCGCTGTGAGTGTCTGATTCACCGAGTAGAGCCGCGGCCCAGGGATTGTATCTGCTTCGTGCCCTCCCTTGTGCTCAACGTCTCCAGAAGTGCCGACGTGGAGTAGGTGCCCGATACAGTACACGTCGTCCCATACGAGAAGTCCAACCACAACCATCCCCGATAGCTGAGTGGGCCTCGGGCCCCTCCTGTCCCCAGAGATCCCTGATCTGCCAACACCAACGGCGAGGACACGGATCGGCTGGCTCTAAGTGGGCTCCCAAACTCGTTGATTGGTTGTTTGCCGTGTTGTCAGACATGCCACCAGCCAAGAGTAATATGATAACTAAAAGAACGAGGGCGGGGGGAACCCCCCCTCAAGTGCCACAGGCCACTGACGGGTGAGGCGCGTGACTCTTGACGGGCACAGAGAGAAACGGTTGCCATTGCCATAACTAAACCCCAGCACGTTCTGTAGCCCTCTGCAGGGCCAGGCCACAGGTGAGCGACCACCGTGGCTTGTTCCCATAGTCGTCTCTGCAAGAAGATCATGAGGTTGATGCGGTGCCACCCCACACTTCAGAGGAGCAAACCGAGGCTCGGGGAGATGGGGTGACATGTTCGAGACACATATTTAACAGTGTGCAGAGCCACCACTCTGCCAGAGGAGGGGGCGCGTGCTCACCTTGTGAACAGCTGGTCCAGGAACTGTCGGGCTCTGGAGAAGGCCGGGTGGATGGGTATAGAGGTGGTGATGCGGCAGATGTTTCCACCAGGGAAAGCTGGTCCCATGCACGCTGCCACCTTGTCCAGTGTGCCTTCCTGGAGGGCCCGCATCCTGGGGGCCTCACGCAGGCGAAGTGTTAACGCAGCTGCACGCTGGGTGGGACAAGGAGGGGTCCAGTCAGTGGATCACCGTGGATCCCCAGGAGGATTGAGGTCTGGAGCTCAGCCAGGAACTCCCGGCCCCTCGGGGACGTATGTAAGCGAGGGGACAGGAGTGCCCATACTGCACAGCTTGCAGGTTGCCAAAGTACCGCTTCAGTTTGGTGGATGGGGGACGTGCCTACACTGTCACCTTCTAGGCTTTTTCTGTTTTTAGCTGAGGGACAGGCAACACACCTCCCCGTGGCGATCGTCTGTGTGAAGGGCATGATCCCCGTGGGTCCGCAAGAAACATCCCAGTATAGAGATGAGCACACACAGGGGTAGGGATGTCAAACGGCTGCTCAAGGCCAGGCAGGTGCAACTGAGAACTGTCCCCAGCTAGGGCCGCACGGCATCCCCATTTAGTGACCTGAGACGTGTGCGCTGCTGACATGGATGGACAGGGTCTGGGGAACCCGATCCCTTTCCATTTGGGCGTCAGCGTCCAGGGAACACAAGTCTATGAGAAGCATGACTTCCAAACGGACGCTTACGTTGCCCTTGTGTTTTTTGTTGTTTTTTCAGGTTAAGGGCGTTTCGAGGCCCTCTGTATGGACGTCCCACATTGGACCAAGGGGCCAGTGCCTGAAGCGTCCAGACTGGAGAAAGCCAGTCACCGGGAGGAGTCTGAGCAGGTGCCGCGGGAAGGAGCCAATCCCCGCGGTCGGCGAGAGGCTGCCGGGTGAGTCAAAGTACCCGTGCGGCAGTGGCCCACGGAGGAGTGCAGCCATTGCCTCGGACCGCTTGGCGTCGGATGGGTCAAAACTTAAATGAGTGAGAAAGCCCCGGGCCAGGCTGGGTGCGAGGCTGCCGGCCATTGTCAGAAAACATATGGGCAGCACTACAGCCTTTTCGAATGGCATGTGGTGGCCACAGCCGTCAAAGTTTGACCCGTGCACGTCCTTGCACCAGCGCTGGGCATGTGTGTCCAGCGGGGAATGGCCTGAACGTGGTGGTCCGAATGGCGTCACCCAAAGCCCGTGACTTCGGAAGCCCCCGAACTTCCGAATGTGCCTGTCTTTGAGTTGTGGTCTTTCAGCAGGGAATGAAGGTTCCGTGAATTCAGGGTGTGGGCCCTAACGCAAGAGGACCAGTGTCCTTTGAAGAGGAGGGGAGGACACCTGGAAGCACAGAGGGCACTGCACGCGACCCAGAGAGAGAGGACGTCCATCTAGAAGCTCAGGAGAGACCCGCAGGAGGCACCAGGCCTGCCGACACCGTGCTCTCTAACTCGCGGCCTCTGGAATGGTGAGAGGTCGATGTGTGCTGTTCCCACCAACCAGCGCGGCCCGTCGCTCTGGCAGCACGGGGAGGCTCCCGCAGTCCGTTGGGACACACCCGAAGTGTTCCCGGCCGCACTGCTGACGGGGCACCCGATGGGCCTTGTGCCAGTGTCCCACAGCACGGAAAGGGGCATCGCCGTGGCAGACGACCTCTGTCATCGGAGGAGGTCTGCACGGACGGTTGAGCTGACTCTCCACTGGTTCACCCGGGGCAGGGAGGTGAAACAACAAGAACAGGAAAATGCAAATGTGCTCGTGGAACGTATTTTGTCTCTGGTGTTCCTACAAGTCTGTGAGGAGTGTCTTTCTGCCCTCCCGTGGAGCTGGAGCGGGAAGGGGACGTCCAGGTTCCTTTGTGCGTGGGACACTCGAGGATAAGCCCCGGAGGGCCCCCGGGGAGTCCCCAGATTGGAGTCTGGGTTCTGAGCACTGCCACGACTCCTGGGGACCGTGTGCGTGGAGACTTCCCCGGCGTCAGCTCTCACCTCAGTCTGGCACTGGCTGGTGTCTGTAGCGTGATGCCCTTTCCCCTGGTCTAGGGAGGTCGAGGAGCTGAACCCACCGACCAGCACTTGGACGACGTCCTCGTCGGAGCTCTACGGAGACAGGGGCCCGGCACCAGGCCCGGAGGCATTAGGAACCCTTCGCCCGGTGTGTGGTCCTGTCTGCCGGCAGCCCTGGCAAACTGGGACCGTGTGTTGGGACACGACGAGGATGTTTTCGGCAGCCCTGCTGAACTAGCAGCAGAACTGGATCACGTCGGGTTCCACCAGCACTGAAAGGCAGAATCGCTGGGGAAAACTACGTCCGTCCTCTCTCGGGATGATACGGGCATGAGGACGGTCACCGCTGCTGACCTGGCCGGCCTACAGTGGTTGGCTGTGCTGTGTGGGAGGACACGTATCCCACATTCTACACCCTCCCGTTTTCGGTACACACCACCCAGTCAAGTGTGAGAGTGTGGAAATCTCGGAGAAGGTGTGCAAGGACAGTTGAGCTCCCAGCTCCACAGGATACCGGGGTGAGGTAGTTGCAGCAACAAAAACAGCAGAATGCCAAGGTGCTCCGGGTCCACTGTGCAGTGAAACAACATGTTTGTATTCTCTGATATCCTAAACTCTGTGAGGAGTGCCTGTCTGTCCTGCCGTGTAGCTGGAGGGAGAAGTGGAGGCCCAGATGCCTTTGAGCATGACACTGTGGACACTCTCGTGGGAACACCGTGGAGGAGCCCAGGCGTGTCCTCGGATTTGTCTGGGTACTCGGCCCTCCCTGGTCCCCTTGGGGCCCTGGGTGTGGTGACCCCCCGCACCCCTCCGGGCCGGCTCTCACCTCAGACAGGCTCTGGCCGGTGGTGTTGTCCTGGTGCACCTGCACCCTGACCCGGCAGATGGTGTAGTGGGGCCCGTGGACCAGCTCCTCGACCACGTCCTCGTGGGAGCTCTGCAAAGACAGCTGGGTCCTGAGCCAGGAGGCCTCGGGAACCTTCCACCCAATCTGGGGTCCTGTGTGACGGCAGACCTAGCAAACCGATCCAGTCTCTGAGGACACAGTGAGGATGTTCCCGGCAGCCCTGCTGGACGAGCAGCAGAACTGCATCCTGTCCGGGTCCCACGCCAGGGAAAGGCTGAATCCCTGAGGACAACGACCTCTTGTACGGGATGTGACGGAGAAGAATGAGGACACAGCTCCCGCCCTGGCCGGCCTACCAAGTGGTTTGCATGCCCTGTGAGATGACTAGTTGCAGAGAAATGTATCCAGTGATGTGTCCAATACCTGGATCCCTCCCCAGGCTCTGTGTTCTGCTTTTGTGCCAACCACCCTCTCAAGCGTGATGATGGGTAAGGCTTGGGGAAGGTCTGCAAGGACAGTCGAGCTGAGTGCCCCCGCAGCATCCCTGGGGCAGGTAGTTCACCGATGGAAAGGAGGCAAATGTAAAGAGAGCGCGAATTTGTTTTGTGGACGACCCCGACGACTACGAGAAGACCGTTTCCACCTGCCCAGGAACCTGGTTGGGAGGACTGGAGGTACAGGTTTCTCTGGGAGTGGGCCCCAGATTGGAGTCTGGCTTCTGGCCCCACCCCCGTCATCTCAGGTCCCACGTGCGGGACAGCTGTCACCTCAGCCCGGCACTGGACGTCGAATCTGGCCTGGCGCTCTCGCCCCTTGTAGCCGTGGGTGGCGTAAGTGAACCCGTCAGCCAGCTCCTCTACGACGTCCTCCTTGGAGCGCTGCAAACACAGAGCCCGGTCCCGGGCCAGGAGGCCTCAGTGGGCTGCCCGGGCGTTGCCGCTGGGGGAGTAAGTAGCCCACCACAAATTCTCCCCAGTTGGGGCCCAGAGGGGCATCTGCAAAGCCCTCCAGCCAGGGAAGGAACGAGAGGACACCGTGAGGGCTGAAGATGAACCAGGGGGTGGAGGAGCCGGTTGCCCGGCTCTCCCCTTTCCATCCCGCCAGCCATGTCCCGGGCTGTGAATGTGACCGACCCCCCGGGCTTCCAACCTCTGACAGCCAGCTCCTGCCCAGGATGAGTGCCCCTCCTCCCACCCTTGCCCACACCTGCCCCAGCCCCCACACATACGCAGGACGAGGGGGTCGAGGGGGCGGGGCTGGCCAGGTGGGATCCCAGGTGTGGCCTGGCCTGGCCTGGATGGGCCCGCCCTGGGCTGCCCTGGGTTACCTGAGGGTGCCTCGTGGCCGAGGGCGAGAGGCGTTGGCGGTGGCGCTTGCGCCAAAGTGCACAGCAACCCGAACGTCTCTCGCTCCGGGCTTTCTTCGGCCCGGAGCCTCGCAAAGTCGGGAAGCAGCACAGAGACATCCTACTCTCCTGACTGTCTCCAGTCCAGTGAGCTAGAATTTGGGTTCCTGGTTACCAGACTCCTGATGTCCGTTGGGGGTCTGTCACTGAGGAAGTGAGGTCACCCCTTGAAGGTTCCGTGACCTGGGCCCCTTCCTCCAATCAGAGCCACCCACAGCCCCTGCTGGGCTGTCGAGCATTCTTCCTCCTCGCCCATGTCACCTCTAACCCTGTACCCCGATAACCTAACCTAACGCGGCCCTCCCCACAGCTCCATGGGACTGTCCCAGGTCCCCCGCGTGGAGGAGAAGGCAGAGTTTAGACCTCCCTTTTCTGACCAGTTCCGTGCCCCGGGAAACCTTTGCACCTCCGAGGGCTTCCCCAGTCTCCCAGCACGCACAGTGAGAATGATGCTGGGCACCGTGTCCTAAGGACACGTCTGGGTGTGGATGAAAGAAAGCCTCTGACCCCTGTGGGCTGGCGTGCCATGAGTCTGAGCGCACACGTCGAGGTGGAAGGGTTCCAAGAACGGGTCGGGTGTAGCATGCAACACAGTCTAAACAGGCTTGGGGTCCAGCGTGGGTTCTGGGGGAAGTCCCTGCCCGTCTGGGCCTCCTCTGAGGTCTGCCCCGTTAAGGGGCCGAAATGACAGGAAATGCACGTATCGCGATCCACTGACCGAAAACCTTCCAGTGGTCTCTCGTTCAACTTGGAATCAGAACAAGTGCCTCCTGTCGGTCCACGTGGTGGGAGCCATGTAGTGACTGGTGCCTGCTGGGGGGACCTCCTGTGTATCCACTGAGTTCTCACCACCTGGCTGCGGAACAGCTTAGGATACAGCCCCGGTGGTGGGATGTGAGGGCCTGTCACTCTCTCGTACTCTCCTCCTTGAGTTCCCTTCCTTTCTCTCAGCCTCCATTTCATTGCGTGTGCGTGTGTCTGACCTGTCTCTGGACCTGGGAGGGCAAGCGCCCATGTTCTGAGCTGCTCTGCGTCGAGGCCCCATAGGAGAGGAGCGAGGGAGTGCCAGGCCCACAGGCAGGAAGCACATCCAGCTGCAGGCCTAAGCGGCACCCTGACACAAACCAGGCGAGGGACTTTGGGGGCAAATGGGTCCCTCGTTGAGCTTCAGTTGAAACACATCTGCCTCATAGTGACCTGGAGGCAGAGACACCCAGCCGAGCTATGCCCAGAGGCCTGTCCAGAGACGTTGGGAGGGGTTAACATTTGTACTTTACCAGATGCGAGGTCTGAGCGCAGTGTTGTTTGTGCCTCCCCATGGGGCACGTGGCAGTCCTAAAATCATACCCTGTCTGAAGTTGTGGAGAGAGTGAAAGAACCAACGTGTGCGAAATGGTGGGGACACCTTGCATGTCCCAGGGGCTGTGTCTGCACATTATCGATGAGTTTACAAATTCTCGTCCAGTGTGTGTAAGCTCCTGACGGTGTAGTGAGCCAAGCCTTTTGTCTGATAGGATGGAGGACTGTTCACTGCTAAGACAACAGGCCCCAGGTGGAGTTGCATGAGCTCGGCCCACTTCACCAAAGCCAGATGTAATTAGATTTGGCTGTGCCAGAAGTGGGTGTCAGACCAGTCCGTGGCCTGCTGGACGCTGCCATCCCCCTAGAGGAAAGTATGGGAAAGGGTGGCCTTTGGTGGAGATCTTGGAGTTCCCTTCTGTCTGCTAGATCGGACACTGCCCAATTGCAATCAGTTTTTGCTCTCATAAAGTCGGCACGTTTGAACTCGCTCAATGTGTCTTTCAGTGGGGGCAGAGGGTGACATCAGTGTCAGCGATGAGAGGAGGAAGGCTCTGCTGGCACACCGGCACTGGGAAGGCCAGCTCTGGGGTCAGGGGTTACGTCTCTGTGCAGTGGGCACAGGACTTGCCTTGCTCCCTGGTTGGGGAACTAGTGCTTCGAATCATTTCACAGCTCTCGGAAGGGGTGTGAGAGGAAGTCAAAGAAAGTATATTAAGTTTTGTTTGTTTTCCTCTTCCCCTTCCCTGGCAGGATGACCAAGTGCTGGGAAGCGAAGTAGTTCTCCAGTTGTCCATGCTGTGCAGTGAATAGGTATGTTCCTGAGCTGTCTGCTGGATGTTCTGTGTGGTAGGGTGGGTGTGGGGAGGTCGAAGGGTGGGGGCCGAGGGACAGAGGTTTGCCATGTTGCGGGTTTGTCTGCAGCACTGAGGGTCTGGGGAGAGGGCTGCTTGCCTGAGGTCACTGAGTGTTCCTGTGCTTCCCTGAGAGAGGGCTTCTTGGGTCTCTTAGTCCACCTTTGGGGGTCAGCCCCGCTTTGTTTCCTCTGCTCAGCTGGGCGGTAGGAGCCACCTTAGAGTGAGGTCCCAACAGAATTTGAATCCTCGAGAGTGTGTGTGTGTGTGTGTGTGTGTGTGTGTGTGTGTTTCCCTCTCTCTGGCAGGGGCCCAGGGGCAGGGTCTCAGAACGCTATTGTTTTCTCTCTATCAAATCAAGCTGGGTTCCTATAGTCTTGCTCTGAAGTCCTGGATGAGCCTGCCCTTGGTCGCTGGTTCCTGAGTTGTGTCCCGTCCTCTTAGGTGGTGACTGGAATCTGATATGTGTGTCTTTCTGCTTAGGAAATGGGAGCCTTGGATGGACCAAGCGGACACCAGGAAGGTTAGTTCATGTGCCTGCTGCCCCGATTACTCTGACCTGTTGTTGTTTGTGAGAGCAGTGCTCAGAGGAGTCATGCCGGAGTCCTGACATCTTCAGCTCCCAGGGACTGTGCTCAGCAGATAATTTCTAGCCCCACTTGGTGTGTAAGGCATGACCGTGGTGCTGGAATGATGGCTCTTGGATGCCTTCTCATTGGCCCTCCAGGGACTCAGTGAGGTGTTTCCCCTTCTGCCTGAGCACTGAGTGTGGGGATTTGAAGGTCAGGCATTAACTTGTATTCCACAAGATCAACATCTAAACCTCACAAGGTGCAGCACAGTAATTAAAAAGACTTAAATTTCACACTGTCCTGTTTGGCCTAGCAGTTAGATTGTGGCCCTGAACCCAAGGTCACTGGTTTGAATCTAGGTCAAGGGCACATACTTGGGCTGCAGAGTTGATCCCCGTCCCAGGTCATGGTCGTGAGGGAGGCAACCTTTTGTAGGGTCTCTCCCATATCGGTATTTCCCTCCCTCCCTCCCTCCCTTCCACTCTATCTAAAAATCAGTGGAAATATATCCTTGGGTGAGAATTAACCATAATAAAAAAAAAGAAAAGTTTTAATAAGACAGTGTTTTTCTTAAGCCTTTTTTTCAAATCAAGTTTTCCTAAAAGGTAGAAACCCCAAATGAACAAGTAACCCCACTCTAACAATCCTCTGGGATCCACACATGATTATATATTTTGTATAAATGTACAGTTGAGTTCCAGCTCGTTCCTGATAGACAACGTAGGGAAGTCATTCCGGACCACCTGGGATTGCATTCTATTTCTGCCCCCTGTTAGCTGTGTAGCTACTTTACCAGTCACTTTACCTCTCTGTGCCTCAGTTTCCTCATCTCTAAAATGCAGACCAGAATTGTACTTATCTTTGGGTTATAAACGACCTTTAGGATTAAAGAGAACCAAGTTCCTGCATGTTGCCAAACATGTGATCACAGAAAAGTTACCTTTGCTGTCTCTGTACGTCGCACTTCGGTCCTCAGGTTCCCCGTGTCTCTGTGTTGGGATGTGTGATACACATTCACCAATTTGTCACCAAGTGTGGGGTCACAGAATGAAAGGCAGTTTTTAGTGGGAGCGTAGACCTTTGCTTTTGTGTTGGATTTGAGCAAATGTGTCCATGACAAGAAAAGAGAGAGTGACGCTCCACCCGCTCGGCCCCTGTCTCCATAGCTGAAGGCGTGAGGAGAACCTGAACCTCATCTGCGCTCCCACTGCCCCGGGAGGTCCTGCTTTCCATCCCGCATGCTGAGCCTCCTGGTCCCTGAGGGCGGGGAGGTGTGGCATTGGGGTGTGCACCAGGCTGTTCCGTGAGGGCCGAGCAGGAGTCTGTTACTGAGGACTGCTCCTCAGAGGGGCCTTAGGTGCATCCATCTGCTCTGAACAGCTCAGGGGTCTTGGTTAGGCACAGACGGCCTTGTGGGCTCCGTCCTTAAAGAACACTATTCCTATTTATAGGTGAAAAACACTGAGGCAAAGGGCATTAAGGGATGTGTTAGCAACGCACATGTAGTATTTGCAGTTCCTGTGTAATGCTCTTTCCCCGGAAACGATACGCTGGAGGAGGAGGGCAGTGGAGCCAGTTAGACTCAGGGACAGGCCGGGGAGAGCAGGCCGGGGAGAGCGGGCCGGAGGGGAGAGCGGGCCGGAGGGGAGAGCAGGCCCCGGGAGAGCGGGCCGGAGGTGGGGGGAGAGCGAGCGGGGGGTGGCGGGGAGAGTTGGCGGGAGGGGAGAGCGGGCGGGGGGTGGGGGGGAGAGCGGGCCGGAGGGGAGAGCGGGCCGGAGGGGAGAGCAGGCCCCGGGAGAGCGGGCCGGAGGTGGGGGGAGAGCGAGCGGGGGGTGGCGGGGAGAGTTGGCCGGAGGGGAGAGCGGGCGGGGGGTGGGGGGGAGAGCGGGCCGGAGGGGAGAGCCGGCGGGGGGTGGCGGGGAGAGGGGGTGGGGGGGAAGAGCGGTGCCCAGGCAGAGCCATCCCTGTCCCACATCTGGCTTTTGAGGGGAGAGTCTGTGTGTCACCTCTTGTGTTCATCACAGTGACACTGAGCTGAGGTAAAGGCTGTAATTGCAGGTGGTTGGCGCTCCTGTGACTTTGTGGACTTGGTTTTGGAGAGGTAGGCCTTAGGAAGGAGGACAGATGTCCCCCACCCTGGGGGCTCAGCGCCAGCAGCCTACAGGTGGCTCTGGTGAAGGGAGGGAGTGGGGGAGGGGTCCAGGAAGTGTCCTCTAAGCCAGGCCGGGCCGGCCAATGAGACAGAGAGCAGGGGGACGTCCAGGTGGACAGGGCAGGAAGTCAGGACAGCACATGCTGCCAGAGCTCCCGTGGAGGGAGGTCCCTGGGGACCCTC